CCCTCTTTCGCATCTCCCACTCACTCCCCACCCTTGAAAACGAAAACAAACCCTGAGATACAGCACTTACTGACTGCTAACTCCGCACCAGAAGCCCTCCAGCCCTGAGCCTGGTGCTGCAGCTACCTGTGTGTTCCCCCAGCTACCTGTGTGTTCCCCCGTCACTGCTACTGCTTCACCCCTGTTCTTATCATTACTGGCGCCACCTCTGTTGCCTTGTCAGGTCCTTTTGTAGTGCCCCAAAGGTAAAACTCCCACGGCTGTCCTGTGTTGCCTCCAGCTGTCATCTCACCAAGACCTTGAGTCCCAGGAACCAACCCCTTGCGGAAGGGGGCAGGGCAAGCTCTACCTATGCTGCTCTGGGGTGGTGGCGGCTGGGGGTGGAGGCTGTGGTGGGATCTCCAAGGGGATTTCACTTCTGTTCCCAGTAGGAGTGCTCTCATCTGTTGGATTTCCCGGTTTATTCTAGGTTGCAGAGGAGTCCTTCCTCTCTTGGCCTCTGCTGTAGAGTTTGATAATTCTGTACTTTGAGTCAGACTTGCAGATTTTAATGTCAGAGAACCAGATAGGGGAAAAGCAGAACCTAACGTGTATGGCTTGCATTACTGCGTTAAGAATTCCCTTAAGCACCGCGATTTCCCTTTTTCATTGGTGATGTCATCTAGGGATTTTTGAAAGTTTCAAACCAGAATTGATTTTCCTTTGGGGACCAGGGAGGCACCCAAGTGTGCTTCTTGGAAGAGTGAGTAATAGTTTTTCTCTCTTGAGAAAAAGCTGCCAACATTATAGGCTATGGTCATTTAATATTAAACATATATTATACAGGTGACCTGATGGATGGTTTGAGAGGCTGGAGAGCTTTAGTGAAGGGATGCTTTTTACTCTGAGATGAGAAGTAGAAAGATCATTACAGAGGTCCTCTAAGAAGGACAGTAGTGTAATTTCTGTGTCAACCTAAGTATCATGTTTGGTCCATGATATGGTTTGGCTATGTCCCTACCCAAATTTCATCTTGAATTGTAGCTCCCATGATTCTCACGTGTCGTGGGAGGGATCTGGTGGGAGGTAATTGAATCATGCTGTTCTTGTGATAGTGAATAAATCTCAGAGGTCTGATGGTTTTATAAAGGGGAGTTCTTACCTGCCAGGAGCAAAGAAAGATGTGACTTTGCTCCTCCTTTGCCTTCCACCATGATTGTGAGGCCCCTCTAGCCATGTGGAACTGTGATTCAACTAAACCTTTTTCCTTTATAAATTACCAAGCCTTGGGTATGTCTTTATTAGCAGCATGAGAACAGACTAATACAGTCCAGTTGCTAAAGTAGGGGACTGTGCTGTTCTTCAGAAAATGTGATCACAGGCTGGGTGTGGTGGCCCATGCCTGTAATCCTAGCACTTTGGGAGGCCGAGGCAGGTGAATCACCGGAGATCAGGAGTTCGAGACCAGCCAGGGCAACATGGTGAAACCCTGTCTCTACTAAAATTACAAAAATTAGCTGGGCGTGATGGCAGGCATCTGTAATCCCAGCTACTTGGGAGGCTGAGGCATGAGAATCGCTTGAACCCGAGAAGCAGAGGTTGCAGTGAGATCGTGCCATGGCACTCCAGCCTAGATGACAGAGTGAGACTGTGTCTCAAAAAAAAAAAAAGAAAAGAAACTGTGATCATGCTGATATCTAGTAAATGGAGTTGCACATAAATCATCCTTTTAATGTGAATTATTTGTTTTTAAAGTTAATAATTTGTTTTAAAATCTTGACCAAGATCACCTGGCTAATATTAAGACATCTACCATCAGGCTGGGAGTGATGGCTCACACCTATAATACCAGCATTTTAGGAGACTAAGGTGGGAGAATTGCTTAAGGCCAGGAGTTCAAGACCAGCCTGGG